CCACCAGGTCCAGGACTCAAACCGCAGTCGACTACATGTGAGTCCAGCGACCTAACCATTACGCCCAACTGCTGGTCCCTTGGGGGATTCTTTTAATGTATCAAGAAAATATATTTCGGGAACCAGCAGTTAGCGTAATGGCTATGTCGCTGGACTCCCACGTAGTCAACCGCAGTTTGCATCCCGGACCCGGTGGCTTCAAACTCACGCTGGGCGCATGTGCATGCATGCCCAAGATCCCGAGAGGAGAATGAAGGAGAAGGGATTGCGGTGTGACCATCCCCCCTGGGGGGTGATTTCTCGCTTTCTGTCTCTATGTCTCTATCTGTCTGGCGAGCGCACGTGCCCTACAGCGAAAAACCTCTCAAAAAAAAAAAAAAAAGGAAAAAGAAAATATATTTCATAAAATTTCTGTAGAACACAGGAAGAAAAAAATGTGGAAGACAGTGAAGTTAAAGGCCACAGAGGGCAGAGTTAGAAGGTTTAACACACATTTAAATCTTAGTTCCAAAAGAAAAAAAAAAGGCCGGCAGGATAAAGACAGTATGGAAGAAATGATGACTTAAGAATTTTTCAGATCTGATAAAAGATTTCAACTGTCAAATTTGAAAAGTCCAAGATTCCCAAGGAGGATAAATAAAATTAAATCCACTTTTATCTTCTAGTTCACAGTAAAACATTATAGCAAAGGAAAATGTCTTAAAAGCAATAATAGCAGCAACAAAAGAATACCCTTCAAAGATCAAAATATAGACTCACAGTTGACTTTTCATCACTTTTTATCAGCAAGAAGCAGAAAACTGCAGAATGGTATCTTAAATGTGCTGAAAGAAATTCTGCTTAAAATTCTAGGCCCGGAGAAAATATTGTCAAGAAAAAGGGGAAAATAAAGATAAGTATAGACCAGAAAAACAAAGGAGTATTTGTCACTAATACACCCTCAGTAAAAGAAATAACTTTAAAAAAATAAAAATGTAATCCCAAAGGAAATGTCTGAGCTGCAAAAGAATAATAAAGAATGAAGAGTGGGTAAACATTTCAATAAATATGAATAGAGTTGGCATTATAAAACATTATTAGTAGTAATAAAATAAAAAATGAAATGTTATTAATAGCAATAATGTTTTATTGAATTAAAAGAAAAAAGATAGTATTAAAGACATAAGAACAACATTAAAATGGGTAAAGAGAAAAATGGAGTTAAATATTCTTAGGTCTTTCTATTATCCAGTAGAAAATAAACTTGGGGAGGCATTAAATTACAAATATTTATCTTTTTTTTTTTTTTGAGAGGTTTTTGCTATAGGGCACGTGTGCTCACCAGAAAGACAGAGACAGAGAGACAGAAAGTGAGAAATCACCCTCCTGGGGGGATGGCCAAACCACAATCCCTTCTCCTCCGTTCTCCTCTTGGGACCTGGGGCATACATGCGCATGCACCCAGTGTGAGTTTAATACACGGGGTCCGGGACTTGAACTGCAGTTGACATGGGAGTCCAACGACAAAGTCATTATGCCAACTGCTGGTCCCAAATTTTTTTTACCATTTTCTTTAGCATGGCTCAGCAAGTAAAGTGGAGATTTGAATAATGGAGTAGATCAGATGTTGTGAGTTTTAC